GAGAGAAAGAGAGAGAGTAGAGAGACAGAAAGAGAGAGGGAGAAGGCAAAACATATAGAGAGAGATCAGGAGATAGAAAGAGAGAGATACAAAGAGAGAGATACAAAGTAAGTCAGAAAGGGAAAAAGAGAGAGGCAACTGCAAGATAAAAAAACCATCACATATAAAAGTTTTATATAAAACTAAGAAGACAAGGAGAGCAGAGAGTTAAAAGGAGAGACAATAAAGTAATTGTAAGCGTGTGATTATGAAAATCTCATATTAAAAAGAGAATTAAATGAACAACAAAATAAATGAGATTCGCTTATAAAGGCGTAAAGGCAGTAAGAAATATGATGTGCCAACGCATCTAACAAAAAAACAGTCGAAAAGGGAATGAAAACTTTGTTTGCCTTTATGAAAATCGCATAGAAAGACCCTACGTGTCTAGGTGATACAATAACATAAAGTTAAACACATATCAGTTACGAATGTTTGGCATATGTTAAACAGTATCTCCCGCTGTTATATATGTTATATCAGATAGAATATGTAAAAACAGTTTATAGCTTATTATATAAGTCTTGTAGTTTGAATGCAAACTTATTCACATGTATCAGATGAATCGAATGCAGTCATTAGCATTCATTATTCGAAGTCAAAAGCAAACAGAGTCATTTAAACTGCCTGCTTGGTGATATCTATAGCTATCGGCTGCAATTTATATATACATATATATATCTATCTGCACTTACATAGTTGCAAGTGGGCCAAGCCCAAGTCCATCAACTAGACCAAGCTCAATTTCAAGCACCTGAATCCGAGCAGCCACAAGCATTGATATGGCCACAATTCTGCCTTGATTACGATACTCGCAAGCAAAAAAAAAAAGAAACAAAAAGAAGGAAAATACAGAAAATAACAAAAACCAAAAAATATGTTTTAATAATGTTCGCTCCAAATGATTTGGCAATCGAAATTTGATACAACGAGCAAGTCGACTCGACTCGACTCGACTCGAGTCGAGTGCATAAATTACCAAGCTAAACGCAAGTAATTCTCATAAAAAACAAATGCACAGAATGCACGAGTGCGATTACGACTGGCTGTGCGGAACGGGACGGGGGTGCGTCAATGGGTGCTCAGATTGCAAGCGCCCCGCTAATGTGGCCCCCCGGCTCGGGGGCCACTGCATAAGACGCGGTCAAAACGCGGCCAACACACAATGGCACCAAAATGTGCAAATGGCGGCAGCCCAAAAAGCCGAACGGGGTGCTAAAACAGCAAGCGTAGGTGAGGTTGAGAGTGGGGGAGACAGTGGAAGCTGCGGGTGTTGGGCAATGCACGCGACGATTTTCCATTAAATGCAAATGCGAGAAAATAAGTGGGCGGCTTGCGCGCGATTCGCCAGCGACTATAAACGCGCGCGCGAGCATTTTGCCATTGATGCCTACTTCAACAGCGTCTTTTGTTGCGCATTTCAGCGCGTTTTCAGCTGCGCTTTGGCTCTGCAACTATTTTTATGACATTTAAACAATTATTTTCGAGCACTGGCAAACAGTTGTTAAAATATCATTTTGAGCGGCCAAGCCCAAGCGCTCAGCTCCGCTCAGCCAAATGGCGGCCAACTCGTTGCCTCGGCTGGTGTCAACATGTCTCAGACTGGCAGGCACCAATTGTAGGAGCTGCTATGCTTGTTGTTGTTGTCGTTGTCGTTGTCGCTGCTGCTTGTTGGTGGTGTTCTTGCAACGCCCCGCGGCGCAACATGCGAGCTGTGTCTATACCCTAGTCGAGAGTATATTCAAAATGCCATCTAACATGGGCCTGAGTCTCTCTGGCATATTGAGCATGTGCTCCGGCTCAGTTGCCTGATCATATTTCCATCAGAATTCCACTTCATATGCCAGCAAGAGTATTTGGTCTTCGACTGAGCAGAAATGCTTTCAGTTCTAGTTGATAATTTTTAAACTTTTTGATTTCATATTTTGCGGCCGCCTAAAAACTTGCCAAAAAATGATTATGAACCTGTTGCTGTTGTTGTTGCTGCTGGGGCTGCTTGTTGCTGGCAGCTCGTTGTCTGGCTTGTCTGAAAATCGAATTCTTGAATGAACCATTAATCTTACGGCCAGCTCTGGTTGCTCTGGCTGCAGTCGCACCCCGGGCCGATCATTAAATGGCTGCAGTAATTGCACTGCGGCTGCAGCTTCAGGTTTTGCCCCTGTTGCCACTGCATTTAATGCTCGTTCACGAAACAAAGAGAGTATATTGGCTGTGTGCTATGTTCGACTTTCGATTGGCCAAGGCCCAGCTCTCAGATACTATACCATTTCGTGTGCCTATTTCATATTTCAATTCAATTTTCACTTCTATTTGAACTCTTGATATTTGGCAATGTTTCTTTGGGTGCGCATTGTCTTACTTATTTTTTTCTCACTCTTTTTCCAATCACGTGGCATTACACCTGCGCCTTAACGTGTCAAGCGCTTGGGGCTACGAGCTCGAATTGGTTCTACCCGGCATTTTGTGTGAAAGGTTGGCGCAGTTTGTCTTTGTCTTAAGGTTAAGTTGTGAGGGGGGAGAATGCCGGGTACAACAAGGGGCGCAGCTTACAGCTTGTTAAATCATTTGACAATTTATTAAGTTTTGAATGGTAATTGGCCTAGGGCTTGGTCAAAGACTAATACCATTTGAGAAGCTTGCAAAAGTAGGTTGAATATTCATATAAAAACAACTATATAAGGGTATCAAAATTAATGAGCTAACAGAAAAGATTATTGATTTGAAAACTATTTTAGGAATACTTCAATTCAAGTGGAGTTTAAGTGACATTAGTTTTATGATGGTTGGTTCAATGATCTGATCTTCGGTTAATGCAGATCGCTCTGCTGTGCAGCACATTCCAACACCTCTCACTTAGTGCACGGTGCATACGCGTTTTTATGTTGATAATACAATCTCCCGGCTGCTGCCAACTGTGCGCTGCAGCAAAGTGAAAATCACTTTTTAAAGCGCTGCTGGACAAGACATAGAAATTTCAATTTCCAATGTGGTGGCCAGGCATAATTTGTTAATTAATTTTCAAGCAACAACTTAATCAAAATGATGTGGCCAATTAAAAAGCCACCGCGGGGATGCCAGCGATAAGACAGCGCAGCTACAGCAGCAGCGGAGTGAGCAGGAGACTAGTGAGTGGGAAAGAGGAAAAGCAACAGGTCGAGCAGTTTCAACTAGTTTAAAGAAAGGCTTTCTTCATTGTGGCCGAGCGCGGATCGCGCTGTCTGACGTGAAACGAATTGCCGCCAATCGAATCGAACCGGAACCTAATTACTCCCGTCTGCGGATCGATAGGTCATATGTCTGGCGGAGCAACTCGGCAGAGGCGTGGACTGTCAGCTCAATCAAAGCTTGCTCAGAGAAGGCAGCATCACGACTCAAACTCGACCAAAACAGGTAGACAGCTTGGTCTTGTGACCAGTTAGACAGTGGGCAGACTGCATGATTCTGCAGCATCCGCAGCGGAAGTGGGCAAAAACGACAAGTTATGCCAGCATCCGTGGGAGTTGACAACATGCAGCATCCTTTATGCTACATCAGCAGAAGAAAACGGTTTGCATCTACTTAGTGCTACTTCAGGTTCTGTGGTCGTGGCTGGCAGAACTGTTTGTAGCCAGTAAAAGATGAGATTCTGTTTACAGTGTTTTAATCTGATCGGACTCGGCTCGGTCTCAACTTTCAATTAAATTCTAACCCAAAGGCCTCCAAATTTATGCTCGTCGAGACTGCGTCTTCACCTGGGCTGTCAATTAAAGTACCCCGTGCCGAAACCAACCAATTTCAACTTATTATCCCACACAATGCAAAGGCAGCCAGGAACGGGTTCTGGTCACGTTTTGGTCCAGCTCAGCCTACCCGAAGAGCAAAAAAATAAATACAAAACCAACGCAGACACAAAATGATTTGCGGTTCATTAAGACGCGAAGCCCCCAGACAGACAACGGACAGGGGACAGGGGACAGAGGACAGCCGACGGTGGACTGTGGACTGTGTCTACGATGACTAAGGCACTGGCGGAACGGTCACTAAATACACTTGACAGTTGCTGCGTTTGAGTGAAATGGACTTTTGGCTGGTGTCCGGCCAACGCAGACGTTGCTCGATAAGGCGTAGACTGGACACATTTGCCTGGAGCTCACGATTAACGCCAACAGCTCCTCCAGCTAATCGGACAGATCGCGACAAGCCTCAATCTGGACAGACAGCACAAACACACAGACAAACAGTTCACTGTCTGGGCAGACACAATTAATATGATGGCCATAATGATGTTGCTGCTGATAATAATGATGTTCACATTTCCACATGGACTGCATCAAAGTGGGTTCTTCTAGCGGACTGTCACAAGTAGGAAGTTGAACAAGCTTTCGCAGTTGTGTAGGCTGAGCAGCCAGAAAGAAGATGAGTGCAACATGATCTAGGGACTAGAGCAACTAGCCAAATGTGGGCTGAGACAGGTAGGACAGGTAGGTTGAATAGTTGGGGCTTTGATATAGTAAAGCATAGATGGGGCTGTCAGGAGAAATGAGGGAATTACAAAGTTAGGAGTGCACTAACTTGATAGACATTGAATAGCTTAACGTGTTCGAATTGAATTTTAATTAGATGCGAAAATGTATCTATATATCTAACTCACTTGCCAAGTCCCTAACACAAAGTGTCTTGGCTTTAATGCTACGCTTTCATCCTCTCATCATCTAATCCATTCCCATTCCCTGTAGCATGTATTCCACTCTCAAGCACATGTGACTAATCAATGTGCAACGCCTTTCTATTCAGCGCATTCTGTCTGGGTCTGGCTTGGCTTTGAGCTAGGCTGAGGCTGGCCTAAACGTTTGGGGCATGTTTCATATTTGGTAACTTTCATCATTGATAAGCCCGAACACCATGCACCAACTAGTTATAAGACGTCGACATTTGACTGTCCGAATGGGCAACTCATGTTGTTTCCTCATTCACATTTGCAGCAGCATCGTCAGGAGTCGCAGTCGCCGGATTATCACCGTTATGCGAGCATTGGCAAATTGCCCCGTGCAGCAGCCAGTGGCAATGTCAGTGGCAATGGCAATGGCAATGGCAATGGATTTGTTGGCAACACACACACCGTCACCGTTGACATACATCAGCACTCTGGCCCAGCAAAGCAACAACAAACAACCAGCAGCAACAACAACAACAGTCTACACTTGCCATACAGCGATCTGAATGGAATGGCTCCGGCATTTGCAACGCCGCCAACGCGTCGGCGTTTCTTTAATCACAAGAATTTACGCAGCGCCCTCACGGGCCATCGACGCACTGCCTCCAATGGCGGTTATCCACTTGATACAGCTTCAATGCTCTCAGGAGGTAAGTTCTCTTCACATATGTTTTAGGTGTTGGAACAAGTTTTGTCCTAGAAACTCATCCTTAGCTCCTAGACTCATTCATTAGTTCGCATTATAAGCTTTGCACCTTTCTTATACACCTCCCGCCATGCACCACATCATGTAGATCATCATTCGCATCATCATCAAGCCAACGGCAAGGAGTCGAACGCCCTGAATACCTCAACCTGTTCGGATTCAGCAGTGACGCGACGTCGTCGCAAGAACTTCAGTAATAACAACTTGAAGGCATCCGCGGAGCACGGAGCCAACAGCGAGAATCGTTTGAATCGCCTCAGCTTGGCGGGCACCTCGATCAAATCACTAATCAAGTCGCTTTGGAGTGTCAACTCCTCCAATTCAAGCGATGCAGGACTCAATCAATTAGCAGGCATGGCGTCTACTTTTCGACTCGTTTCCTCTTTGTTGTACATATTGCATGGCATTGATTTTAAGTGTGTTTTGTTTTCAGAATAGATTTGTCTTATTTATTTTATTTATTATTATTATGCATTAAAGCTGTTAAAGGCAGTATTGATTCGATTCCCATAACACTGTTAAAGCGAGGCTTGTTATGCTAATAACATTTTGTCATCATTTATTGCATCTCCTGCACTTAATGCTAATAACATTTTGTCGTTAATGAATTTTATGTTAAACTCAAGCAGTTTATGCTAATAACATTTTGTAGTCATAAAATGCATTTGCTGTAAGACTCTCAGTTTATGCTAATAGCATAAATTACTTTTAGTCAAATATGTTAATAACATTGTATAAGAGTTTTTAGCATTTTTTGTTAAGCTGAGGACATTTGTGAATTTTAACACTTAGACAAACTTATAATTGTCTTATACATATTGTTTTCTCTTATATTTATATGCATTATTTATCTATTTTTGCATGACTTAATATTCACATTGTTTTATCGATTTTATTGATAATTTTTTGTTTTATTTTTAACAGGCAGCGACACCTTGGGCATTGAACATCATCCGCAGTCGCTGCTGAATTTGAAGCAGCAGAAGGATCAGCTGCGCGCTCGCCTTGGCCTGTTGTTCAACGACAACAACAATGGCAACAACGTCAACAACAACAGCAACACGAACACCACCACCAGCAGCAGCAGCAGCAGCAGCGATCACAACGGCAACTCGACGCTCCACTCGACGAGTCTCTCGAGCAGCGCAGGTGTTGGCAGCGGTGCCAGCAACAGCAACAGCAACAGCATCAGCAACAGCAACAGCATCTGCACCACAGCCAACAGCAGCAGCTCCTCGCAGCTGATCAGCCCGGAGCAGACGCTGGCCAACGCCGGCCTCAGCGGCAGTCAGCTCTCGGTGGCCACGTCCCACAAGGACGACACGTTGAGCCTCTGCAGCAAGTTCAGCAAGATGGGCTGCACCATGCAGGAGCATGCCTACGAGCCCTTGGCGCTGCCCGGCAAGTCGCGCAAGGGCGCCACGCGACGTTCCACGCGTGCTCAGCAGCTGCCGGCCAGCCTGAGCGCCGGCGCATCCGCAGCAGCGGGCGCCGTCAGCAAACGCGCAGCAGCAGCTGCAGCCTTGGCCGCAGTGCAACTGGCCTTGAAGCCGCTGTTCTTCGAGGTACCGCTGCAGGAGCCCGATCCGCCTTATGTGGGCCGCCAGTGGCTGGTGCAGCAGCTGTCCAACATACTGCTAGGCACGGACACACGCGTGGTGCTCATCAACGGCCAGCCGGGCACGGGCAAGACGGCCTTCTGCCTGCAGCTGGTGGAGTACTCGTGCTTTGGCCGGCGACAGATGCAGGCGCAGCAGCAGGAGGACGCAGATGCCATCTACAGCCAGCTGGGCGCACAGAATGAGCGCATGCGCGGCCTGGCCTCCCACATGGTGGGCTATCACTTCTGCCAGGCGGACGCAAATCTCACCTGCCAGGTGCCGGACTTTGTGCACTCGCTGGCCGCCCAGCTCTGTCAGGCGCCCCAGCTAACGGCGTACCGTGACTATCTGCTCTCGGAGCCGCATCTGCAGGACATCCTGAGCGTGCGCGAGTGCATCGCGGATGCGGAGCGCGTGATGCGCCTGGCCATACTGGAGCCACTGGCGCAGCTGCATCGTGCCGGCAAAATTCCAGCCAAGGTGGCCGTCATACTGGTGGACGCACTGTGCGAGGCGGAGTATCATCGTCCGGATCATGGACACACCATAGCCAGCTTCCTGGCGCAGCTGTCGCCACATTTTCCCGCGTGGCTGAAGCTGGTTGCCACGGTGCGCACCCAAATGCTGGAGCTGGTCAAGGCGCCCAGCTACACGCAGCTCACGCTGGACAGCTGGGCAAGCAGCCAGACGCTGCAGCAGGACATGCTGGACTATATCAATGCACGCATCACTCACTGCCCGGAGATCCAGCACAACATTGGCGGCCAGGTGGCCCAGTCGCAGGCGAAGTTCGTCTCACATCTGCAGTCGCTGAGTCGCGGCTCCATGCTGTACGCCAAGCTGATACTGGATCTGATCTCGCGTGGCCAACTGGTGGTCAAGTCGTCCAGCTACAAGGTGCTGCCCGTGTCGCTCGCTCAGATCTTTCTGCTCCACTTCAACTTGCGCTTTCCCACGGCGCACAGCTTCGAGCAGACGTCGCCCATACTCAATGTTTGCCTGGCCGCGCTCTATCCGCTGACGCTGGACGAGATCTACTACAGCATGGAGGCGCTGCACCATGGCCAGGAGCCACTCAGCTGGCCGCAGTTCATACAGCGCTTCAAGCTCTTGGACGGCTTCCTCATCAAGCGCCTGGACAACACGTACATGTTCTTTCACAGCTCGCTGCGCGAGTGGCTGATGCGCCGCGACGAGGGCGAGTCCAGCAAGTTCCTCTGCGACGCACGCCTAGGCCATGCTGGCATTGCCTTCCGGCTCTCGCGACTCCAGGCGCCGCTGCAGCCGCAGCTAACGCTCGAGCTGGGCCATCACATGCTCAAGGCGCATCTCTACAGCAGCAGCCAGGCGGCGCTCTCGCCGCGCGACTTGCAGTCCTATTGGCTGGCCGGCGCCGCCGACAACATCTCGGCTGCCCTGGGCGCACTGCGTAATGTCTACAGTCCCAATGTGAAGGTGTCTAGGCTGGTGCTGCTCGCCGGCGCCTCGCCGGATCATCGCACCGACTACATGGGCGACGCGCCCATTTTGTGCATTGCCGCCCACGAGGGCATTCTGCCCATGGTGAGCCTGCTGCTGGAGTTTGGCGCGGACGTGGGTCTTACCAATAGCCAGGGCTGCACGCCGCTCATTCTGGCCGCGATGCGCGGGCATTGCGATGTGGTGCGCCGCTTGGTGGCCGCCGGCAGCAGTCTCGGGCAGCTGGACACCACGCAACGCTGCGCTCTGGTGCATGCAGCACGCATGGGGCATCTCAGTGTGGTGCAGTATCTGTTGGCCTGCGACTGGTCGCCGCGTGCTCGCTCCCAGGACGTGGGCCGTTCCTTGGCGCTGCAGCAGGCCCTGATTGGCGCTGCGGCGCAGGCGCATGTCAAAATACTCGAGGATCTGTTGGACCTCAACGAACATGAGCTGGACGACCTCAGCGTCAATGTGAACGGCCTGGAGCCGAGCAGCGGCGAGCTGGCACTCACAGCAGCTGCACGACATGGCTGTGTGGATGCCGTCAACATTCTGATGTCCCGTGGAGCGCAGATCGATGCGCGCAATCGCCAGGGCTACACGGCGCTGTGGTTGGCCGTGAAGGAGGGCCATTGGAGCGTGGTGGAGCAGCTGCTGCAGCGTGGCGCACTGCTGGACGAGCCGCTGGGACAGGCGCGCAAGACGCCGCTCATGATTGCCGCCGAGGAGGGGCATCTGGAGCTGCTGGAGCTGCTGATGGCACGTGGCGCTGCCCTGGAGGCCGAGGATCATGAGGGCTTCACGGCATTCAGCTGGGCGTGCCTGCGCGGTCATTTGGCTGCGGCCAAGTGCCTCATCGAGCACGGCTGCAATCGGCAGCACGAGGATCACAAAGGACGCACAGCACTCGATCTGGCCGCCTACCAAGGGGCCGCCAGTCTAGTGCTGTACTTGCTGGAACAGGGCGCTAATCTGGAGCACATTGATGTGCATGGCATGCGTCCGCTGGATCGCTCTATAGCCTGCCGCAACATACAGGCGGTGCAGGTGTTTCTGCGCAAGGGTGCCAAGCTGGGACCCACCACCTGGAGCATGGCCATGGGCAAGCCGGAGATACTGGTGGTGCTGCTCAACAAGTTGCTGGAGGACGGCAATGTGCTGTACCGCAAGAATCGCTTCCAGGACGCCGCGCATCGCTATCAGTATGCGCTGCGAAAGATCTCGGGCCTGGAACAACTGCTCGAGCGGAATGCGGTCTTTGCCCAGCTGCGCACTAATCTGTTGCTGAATCTGTCGCGCTGCAAGCGAAAACTGAATGTAAGTGCTATACATTGGCGCTTTAGCCAGATGTGCCAGACTTATATGACTCATGGTTGACTCTTTCTCATTGCTCCGCAGGAACTTGACGCCTCCATAGATTTGGCGACACAAGCCATAATGCAGAAGCCGCACAGCTACGAGGGCTACTATGCTCGGGCCAAGGCGCGCATGGAGCTGGGTGCTCTCAATGAGGCGCTCGTCGATGCCAACGAGGCCATGCAGCAGGCGGCTCAAAGCGGCGTCCTCTGCGAGGTCGTAGAAGTGCTCAAGCGCATCCAAGCCGAGCTGCTGACGCGCATCACCAGCGAGGATAACAAGCTGTCCGGTTATGGAGTCGGAGCCGGTGCTGCTGGAGCCTCTGCCGTCTACGAATCTCAGCAAGAGATGACCGATTTGTAAATGTCCTTTGTTGTTGTATCGCATTCGAATCACAATCTTAACTTAATAATAGTTCTTAACTGTTTACTATTTATTGCCTTTTGGATGTTTTATTAATTTAAAAAACAATTACTTTTTATCATTCTTTTTCATAACGCATGTAAAAAATAGCTATAATAAATATACATTACTTAAGTTTACATTTGCTTAATAAAATAAATACGAATTTATAAGATCAAAACTGCAAATAAATTTTTACCAAGGGGGGAATATAAAAGCTGTTGCCTACTTTCGGGCGGTACTTAGAAAAATACCATTGGACGAGTTTTTCAGATCAAACCTGCAAATAAATTTATATATGTGTGAATATAAAAATGGTTGCATACTTTCGGGCGGCACTTAAAATACCATTAAAAGAACAAAGCTGTAAATCAATTTTATGTTAGGCTGTTGCATACTTTCGGGCTGTACATGGAAAAAGAACATTATCCGCATTGGTGTTGAAACTGGATGTGGCGTGTGTCTTTGCTAGAGCATAGCGTTACAGTAAACACACGAACCGAGATAGCGATTCCGAAATTCCGAATCGAAATCAACTTCTTTCGGAGCACAAAACTAATTTTGAAACAAACAATGTTTTTTGGTTAGTAAAACTCACAATTTATTCTTTTTAAATTGTACTTAACATGCTTAAAACATAAAACTTAGTCTAAAGCTTACATCTAAACAATGATAAATAATACGTATATAACTCGTATTCAAGGCCACAAGTTGGTATTAATTTTGGATTGGGCATACGTCTAAAAACAGATTTTAGTTTCAGTCTCGCTTCAGTACTCTAAAAGCAGATTACATTGTAATTGTAATTATAAGTGCACCTGCAGGTAAATAATTTGAACGGCAATTTTTACAAATACAAAACACATTTTTACAATTTTTAAAAGTTTTCCCTTCAGAATGTCAAATTATTTACCATAAATTTTGCTGAAATAATAACTTAAACTAAGCTCGAACTAAAACTAGGCTAAATGCAGCGACTCAATATGAGTCAGAGAAGGAACTCTTTGCAGGCTGGCCGTGCAAAATGCTTTCGTTGTTGGGCGCAACATTTCCATTCGGATGGCACTTGGTTCGGTTGTCATATGGATACGTTGATATGTTAGTTGGCTAAAACTTCTCGTCGTCCATGTTGGTGCGGCAATTGTTGAGCGCCGTCTGGCGCTTCAGCGTGCCCGTCTCGCAGTCGTTGTAGGTCTTGGCCAGCACCTTGGGCGTGTTGTTGTGGTGCATGTTGTTGCGATTCAACGTGCCACTTGAAATGTTGCTCGTCTTGGCATGCACGCGGAAGCTGGACTGACGCTTGGGGCGCTGGTCATAGTACTGCAAAGGAGCCAAAATGAATATCAACTGCCACAGGCAACACGCATCTGGCACTTACGTCCTTGGTGGGCAAACTGGAATACTGATTGGGATACGTGTCGAAGCTCGCTGTGGTCGTGATCGTCTTATTGAGTGCCTCTTCAATGCTCTGCAGATAACGCCGTTTCGTAAAGTGAAATGTGACCAAGCAGCCGACGACAGTCAGCAGCATGCAGCAGCAGATCACAACAGGGACTGTGGCGCTGGAGGCAGTTTGCAGCTCTGAAAGGCAATGGATGTTAGGCTCGTGTTGCAGGCGAGGCGCGCGCTTCGACTTACCCTCACATTCGCCTGGCACGCAGGCGGTTTTCTCGAACTCTGCGCCTCGGCACTCGTGCGGCGCTGGCTGCTCCACTAGACAGCGGCGATGACGTAGGCGAATGCCGTCGTTGGAGCAGGCTGACCACTCGTTCCAGGAGCTCCAGCCGAGAAAGTCTGCAAGAAAAAATGTTTTAGACTCTATTTGCCAGAGGCAGCAGCAGCAGCAGCAGCATTCAAGAGCTCACCTTCGCATGGTACCATCTCGCACTTCTGCTCTTCGAGCGCACGTCCCGCACAGAGTCGCTCGTGGCCGCCCAGGCATTTGCGTGTGCGTCGGCGCACGCCCAAGCCGCAGGTCACGGAGCAGCTGGACCACTCCGACCAGCAGCTCCACTCATGCTCCAGCTGATTGTCAATGCTGTTGTCCGGCTGCTCGTCCGCCGGACAGGCGTGCATATTGCAGGCGCGACTCTGTGTATTGTGTCCACGCCGACGCTGCTGCGTGCCACCGCCGCAGCTGACACTGCAGGTCGACCACTCGGATTCGGAGTCAGTGGAGTCATGCTCGCTGTGCCGCTGACAGCTGCCGTCCTGATTGCAGTTGCGCGTTTCCTCCTTGGCCAAGCTAATTCGCACCGAGTTCGCGTCTGCGCTGGTCGCTCGGCAGGCATAGCGATAGCGCTTCTCCACGTGCGCCTCAGACGAATTTCCACCAGCTGCCGTTAGCCAGGGTGTCCAGGCGCTGAGCTTGCGCACCTCGCCGCAGCTCTGCATGTTGCAGTCCTCGTAGTCCAGCCTGCAGCCAGGACAATCCATGCCGCCATTGGATGGCTTGGGGTCATCGCATTCACGTCGGCGCATGCGGAAGCCGCCTCCACATTGCGCGCTGCACTCGCTCCACTCGCCCCAGGGGCCCCAGGCACCGTCAATGGCCGGCGGCTTGGGCACAGGGCAGGGCGGTAAGTGGGTGCAATACATCTCGGCCAGCTCGGGTCCCAGGCACATGCGTCCGCCGTGTGCGGGTCGCGGGTTGCTGCAACTGCGACGGCGGCCCTTGACGGCCACGCCACAGGTCTGCGAGCAAGGCGACCAGGCTGACCAGTCCGTCCAGCCGCCGTGCTGGGTGCAGTTGGTCACCTGTGTGCTGATGCCCTCGCAGGCGACACCGCCGTGCTGTGGCTGCGGATTGTTGCAGTTGCGCTGCCGGCACAGGCAGTTGCTGTCGGGCTGGTCATGCTGCTGGCAATCGGCCCACGGCGACCAGCTGGACCAGCCGCCGTCGATGGGCGCATTGAGCACGGGACAGGTGAATTGGGTTGGCTGCAGCCAAGGCTGCTGCACGGTGGGATCCAGAGGCGTGCAGCGTTCCACGAGCTCATTCCAGCCGCAATAGGGATCCATGGCATTGAAGCAACTGGACTGCGAGACATGGCGACTGCAGCGCTGGGCGGGAATGCGCGTCAGAGCCAAGTCCGTTCCCAGGTACAGGGAGTCCGTGACCTTCAGGTAGGACATGTGCAACAGGGTGCTGCTGCCCGTGTCGTCCGCCTGCCACATCTCCACCAGACAGGTTTGCGCCTTTTCCTGCGACTGCGCTCCATACTTCACCGACAGCTTCTTGATGTGGTTCTGACTGCTGCTGACGTAGAGCACGTGCAGCTGCTCTGTTCTGGTCTGGACAATGTCCAGGGCAATGTGCTTGAAGTGCTCCAGTCTGGAGTGATAGAGCGGCTGAGCACCTATCGGCTGAACGGCCTGATCCATGAGCTGATACCGCGAACTCTCCAGCAAGTGGCCAAAGGCCGTGGCTCCACTGGCGCACTGGAACTGACTTCGTTGCGGCGTGTTGACCGTTTTCCATGCGGCATCCGCGTGCTCCTGGTGCTTGAAGGCGCCCTCGAAGGCTGCATTGATCGAGCTCAAGTTGTAGGCGCAGACGGCAGAGCCAAAGATGATCGACCTAAGCAGTAATCGGAGAAGATTAGGCACTACTCAGCAGACCCTAAAGCAGTCAAGTCTAAGTTCTTACCCCGACGTGCTGAAGGTGGCATAGAGCACCTGCTCCGACTCCGCATATGTCATGCCCTGTATCTCGTCGAAGTAGTAGGGATAATCGCCTGGCAACGAGCAGTTGAGGCGCGCCTTCAGAAACGAGGTCCAGTTGTCACGCAGCACCTGATCCCCGCCAGCATCGTTCTTGCACACGCGTGCAATGCGCGAATAGATTGCCTGACGAGTGTAAAGGGCAGAGCTTTGCATTAGACTGCGGGTTGGCAGGGGAGTGCTGCCGCTCTTACCTTGCCACAGCTCATGTGCTCCGACGCGGACTCCCGCAGCAGAAAGTAGACAAAGTTGCCCGCCTCGAAGCTGCCCACAAACTGAGCCCCATTGAGCCAATTGTTGTTGTATTGCTTAGTGCGCAGGAAGCGTTTGCGGTCCATCTGAGGAGGCGGTAGTCAGAGAGGAGAGATTACTATAGAGTTCGACTACTTTTCAAACAACCCACGCATATGTGATAGCTTATGTCTTATATTTTCCGATCTCAATGTAGATAATTTAGATATTTATAAATATAATTGGAAATTTCCTTAATTCAAATGAACTCGGCAACTTTTTTGGCAACCCTCGTAAGCGATCTTATCTCAATTATATTTGTATGTTGTAAATTAACAAACGAAAATAAACTAATTTGTATTAATACACATGCAACTTTACAGACTACCCTCGCCTATTAACCACTCACCCTTTTGGGCTGGACGGGTGTGCGAATGATGGCCACGTCGCTGCCGGAGAAGTCTGTGGCAGTGCCCGCAAACATGTTGCCATTGGACTGCAGGAGGCTGGTGCTGTTCGCCAGTGGATGGAAGGGGCACTTGACCACGCCGTCGTCCAGCTGAGTGACGTTCAGATTTTCCATCTACGGCAGAGACAGAGAGAGAGGGAGAGAGAAACAAGAGTTTAGCTCAGCTGCAGTTGTTCGGCTGTCAGAGACGTCGCCAATTCGACGAGACGACGACGACGACGACCACTCACCTGGCGCCACGAGCAGCTCGGCTGGAAGGCGTTCGTCCCACACGCGTACAGTTGGTTCTCACCGTAGCTGTGGAGCACGCGCACATAGTTGCGACACCAGCGATCCGATTGGCCTTTCTGCTGGCACAGCAGCACGTTCCCAGGCGTTGCCTCCCAGCTGGCCCGTTCCAGCAGCTCCAGCTCGAAAGACATGCGGTACAAGGTGTCTCTGCAAGAAAGAGCGGCGATAAAATGTTGCAGCTTAGTTTAGAGCCGAGCGAATGGAGGGAATTGTCACAGCTAAATTCGGCCCACAATAAGGCAACTCCCCTCCAACCCTGCCCCTGCCCCTGCCCCGTCCCTGCCTTGACTACTGGCAGTTGTCATAACTTCCAACTGGTCTCTGGTGTCAATGCACTGCAAGGCAAACAGGTAAAGATACCTGTGCGCAGGCACAGTGGTCGACAGTCGCCAGACATTTGAATAGCTCCGCTTGTAGGCGTCTCACGTGGGGGCAACAGAAAATGGCAAACAAGCCGAAGAACGATTCGAAATTATGGCTCCAGTGCCACATTAGGCAACTGTTGCAAGAAGTTCAATTAAGATAAGGCTAATCACAGACATCACAAGCATCTATTAAGTGATTCCATCTGCTAATATAGACATAGACATGCATCATTCATTGCCTTATGAGAGCTCTATAAGCTCAGAAGACATATGCAAACATAAAGAATCGTAATATTTGCTTAAAAGTAAGAGAAGACGTCTATGTTTCTACTAAAAACACAGCATGTTGCCCAAGTAATTCGGAAATCATAAAAGCAAGCTAAAGCTTAACTGCTTTGCTTAGTAATTCACAACTAGTTCTAGCTGTGCAGCAAATTGTCTTTAATACTTTAAGCTCATTCAGAATTATTGTATTGGCATTTGCATGGGAGAAACTCATCCTCACTTAATTTTAGTCACATTCAATACTATATTTTATATACATATATTTTATATATATATATTTATATATTTTATGTTTTCTTGCTTGGAAGTACTATCAATTATTTATATTAAATTAATTTATTAAATTTATATTAAAGTATAAAGCACTATTTAAAAATAATAATTATAATAATAATAATAATAATGTATTGTACTTGGACTGCAATAGCATAAATTACTGTAAATAAATACTAAAACTAATTTTAATTGCTTACAATAATTATTTTATTTATATTCATATTAAAAAAAAAAACATAAATACAGTTTTTATAATGCAATTTTTTCTTTTTTTTTTTGTATCTATTTAATTTATTTTTTATTTGAATTTTAGATTTTTTTTAAAATTCTTTGAAAAAAATGAAAAAATGTTTTTTTTTAAATATACTTTTCTATATTAATATTATAAATATTTGCGCATAAGTGAAATTAAATGAATTTAATATATAGACATTGTTTATTGAGCTGTCAACCAGTGTGCAAGGCGTAAGCTGCAACCACTGTGCCAACACGTATTTGGCGTAACATATACGAAGATCAATAGATCAAGTGCATACGAATGCGGCTAGCAGCAGATAAAGTAGATAAATGGTTACATCTCGAACTGGACAGCGTTTCGCGGGCTAGAATCGCATTCGGATTCGAATTCGCTTGAAGGAATGCCGCCGACTAGACGTCGCCATAATATTGGAGCCAGCCCACAGTTGGCTTCGGACAGCTTGAGACAACTTCACTAACGAACATTTGATGCAGTTTAGCGACATAGAAAATATTGCTGCTGCTGCTGCTGTTGCTGCGTTGGCCAATGTGGGACTTGCGGACCGGATCGCATCGGAATGGATCGAGTGCCAGCTCGCCCAATATCAATCAGTCAAACGCAGCTGCCGCGCGTGGTCTGTGAACTGTGGAGCGTGGCATGGCTCTGAGTGGCGCGTGGCTCTGGCCAGGGTAACCTGAGCTGCCAGCCAGAGCCGAGTTCTACGGTACGTGATGTTGATGATGAGGTAATAAACAGGCACAACATTTGCAAAATAAGCCGACTGCAACAGACGCCCTTCCCCAACAAAACACAGCTGTCGACCGCGAGGTGTGTGAGAGAGAGAGTGTGTGTGTGTGTGTGTGTGCGTGTGTATGTATGTAGGTGTATGTATGCATGTATGTGTGGCGATAACATCGCGTTGGCAGATGCAAAAACAGTTTTTAGTTCTGTCATTATTTAAATTAAGGTATTAAATTTATACATTAACAAGCAGCAGGTAAATGGCAAAGCAAAGGAAGAACGCTCATAAATGTGGCTACAAAAATGTATGTAGTAACCACAATGGACATTAAATATTTTATAACCCCTACATCAGATTGACAACATGTCAGACATTAAATTCAACAATGAAATTAAACAAATCTAATCGACAAAATGTTGTCTTTTATTGATATCAATTTCGAAAGACAATTTTTTGTTGTCATATTTTATGCGAACACAGACGTCTTTCTTTTATGAGTAACTCTGAGGAGTGTGGAGAGCTATATCAATAGACCAAATTTCCAGTTATATTGACGCGGGCTTTTATGAGTAACTGTAAGGCGCAGTGTTTGTTGGGCAAGGTTATGATAAGCCTTAACAATCAGCAACAGCAACAAGTGTGTCAATAAACCAGAATCATATAAGACGAAAATACAGCTGAGCGGTTTTTTAAGTATTTTTCTCAAGTGGCTACAACCTACGTTATATGAATATGTGACGTGACAAAAGTCGCGTAGCAAAAAATGGCACGACAATAAAAAGGGCGTGAAAATTGCTAGCAGACCTAACGGAAGCGAAATTTAATTACTGCGGTTTGTGTACAGTTGTTAACTTTTGTTGTTTTCGCTCTGCGAGTGCCGCCAAAACGTGTGCTATTACATTTCCAGCGCAAAAAAAAGAGGACGGTAAAACAAGTGCGCTCAAAATAAAAATCAAAACTACCAAAAGCCTAATTTTTCATAAGCTAAGCTACAATTAAAAAATCCACTAAAAATTGGTAATTTTATGCCAACTGGTTAAAAATGAACTAAATTTAGACATATTTATTTGCATTTAAATGCCCAAAATTAGCATAAACTACGTTTATAATTTGTAGAGTTTTATGTTTGTAGAGTTTAGTCTACCATTTCTTTGGCAGCCGACTGCGGCAGCGCAGCAGCGATAAGCAACGACCTTGCCAATTAGCATTGCGTTCAGCAAAGGCCTCTCGATTCACACCACCCCGCCCATCGCCCGTATTCGCCTTCGTCTTCGCCGGCTTTTTTTATCTTTCGCCTCGCTTCACTTGAAGCTGGCGAATTCCACATTTGAGGTGTGAAAAGTCGATACACATGTTTTTGCTGTTGCTTATCTCTTGTTCGTTTTCTTTTAATTTGTATTTTTTATGTTGTTTATTCTGCTTGGTGTAGTGTTGCGTTTGTTGTTATTGCATTTTGCTTTTTGCAAATATTTGCTTATTGTTTTGTCAGTTGTCTTTTTTCATTTATTCCAAATTTGTATTTGTTTTAGTTCTTTTCGCTGTCGCTATCTCTAAACGGCGCGTGCGTGCAAATACGTGCAGGTGTGAAAAGTTTTGCCTTTACAAGTGATTCAAAATAAACTTCAGTCTTAACTAATACTATGAGTGAGCGGGTTGTCTATGTAGCTGAATTAATAAGTAAAACAGAGCTTTATTTCCGACTTCGATAAGATGGAATATGATTTATATACCTATAAGAAACACCTAAAACACAGTAACACAAGCTCACAAGCACAATTTATCTAGATATCAGTACTAAAGAAAATAAACTTCCTTATCGCATATATCTACTCTACTTTGCTTCACTTATATAGATAAGCAGACATATATGACTTAAAGAACATCCTCATATACAGCATAATCTCATTTCATTTAGACACCCTCTGGACCAACAGTTTTGACCCATTTATAGAAGCGATCAAGTGCGTTACGTGCTCCAAGCGGTATCTGTGTCTGCAAAACATGTATCTTTAGCTGTATCTGTGTATCTGTATCTTTCGCTGCAAATGTATCTCTGCTTGGCTGCGGATGCATTCACAATTCACAATTTTCGCACACCTTGCGCCGTGGCTAAGTTTTGAGCGACAAGCGCGACAAGATAACAAAAAGGCAATTTTTTGCAAGCTGCGCACCACCGAGTGGTGCAAGTGGTGCTGCAGATGAAGGCGGTGCTGCGAGTCGTGTGTGGAGCTATTAAGGCCTGGCCTGGACTGTGGCGCCGTCTGTCCGGCTGTGGCAATTGCTACGCCGCTGATCAAGTGGACGAGCGTGGGCGTTCGTCTAGCGCCTGTTTGGCGACAGCTCGAGGCACTCGATGGACGCACGGACGGAGGGACGGGCTGGCGGGTTACTTGTAATTAAAAGCTGCCCGCTGCTCCGTTAAGATCTTGTAAAAAAGCTGCAACAAAACTGCTGCGAATTGCAATTGCAATCTCAATTTCTGCATTGGCACTGCCTACGCCAAGCGCATTCCTTGCTCTCAATTTCAAAAAACTGTTCCACTATTTCTATTTTTTTTTTCTTTTTTTTGTTGAATAGAAATATGCAAAACGCCCCCTTGATATGTTTTACTTAACATGCTTTAGCTTTGATTAATTTTGATTTCAATTTCGCTGCTGCTGTTGGATTTTGGATTCCGGATTCCGGATTCCAGTAGCGGCCTAAACGGCCTGTCAGCCTCTTAGCGTTTGCGTCTGTCAAGTGAAGTTTGAGCCCGCGTTGCCAAATATGGCCAAATAAAATGCCAAAATAAATAAATAAATGAATTGCAATGGCTGTGCGCTATCGCAAAAGGCTAAATGTGCTAGGCACTCAAATTGTTTGAATAGCTGGCAAATATATTTAAATATTTCAAATAAATCATTTCTGAATCGCACTACAAAATATTCATAGAGATTATTGCTTATATCCATAAAGTATTTGAATACTCTACTAGCTATATCTTCTGCTTTTTGTCTTAAAGATAAATACCTTTTCTACAGTCTAGAATAATACTCAATTTCACTTAGTTAAAAACCATTTTGCACTATAATAATAATTTTAAGACTTTTATTTGCACTAACCAAGAGCTCTTTAGCTCTATAAGTTTAAGCGCAAATTTAAGTAAGTCCGAGTTGAAGGAAATCATTTGCTTCCTATTATAATCTGTTACTTTTTGGCATGTAACTTTCTTTAAATTGTACAAGAAATTGCTTTCCCATGGAAAAGTTTGGAAATGTGTTTGCATTTTGGTTGCCTTTTCGCTGAGGGTACTTATAAGGTTATGTTCAGTCATATGTATAAACATTTCAAATGCTTCACAGCAAAAACATTTGCATGGTCCATTTGCTCGCCAGAGACCCCTACATAAACAAGAAAAAAATGTAAAACCAAAAACCGAAAACGAACCTATATAAAAGGCTGTTAAGGCAAGGAAGAGAAGCAGAGACAGACAGAGAGAGAGAGAGAGGGAGAGAAAAGTGAAAACAAAATGGTATATTATTTTAATGCAGTCCATATCAAATTTCGTAGTCCGTTGCACTGCACATGACATGAAATTGTGCGACGTGCAACACGGAGGCAGTTGCCCCATCGTCGCGTCACTCGTCATGGAGCCATTCAAAACGCTTGAGCTCGTAATTCGAACCAACAGTCGTGTCAAGTGTGTGTGTGTGTTTGTGTGTGTGTGTGCCAGACAAGGAGCATTGCTTTATATATAGACTTTGTCCCTAGCTATAGCCATATCGTGCCATTGACTCCGCAATTACCCAACCTTTATATGTGCCGACCACAAGTCGTAAATGTAGTCCACAGCTCAAGAGCTGAAATAATATTGCAACAATTAAATTGCGGTTAGTGATTAGAAGATAGAGAAGAAAAAGAGGTTCCCATTGTGGTTTTTCGGTGGTGCAACGCCAGATCAAAACAGAACACCACAGGGAAGGTCAACAGTGGCGGTGGTTCAAACGAAGAGTGGTTTAAATTATAGACACGAAATTTATTCTAGTTAATTTTAAAGGATTCAATTACGACCGAAGGAAAACTAAAGATAGATAATTAGCTATGGGGCTAAAGAAACACTATGATAACTATAACTATATATAACTATATATGTATATACATAAAATATCTATCTTATATCTAAGGTAGCTGTAGATAGTATAAGGTATAAAGAAACCCATGGGAACAATGAGTTCGATAGAAATGGTGATTAGAAAAGTAAACTGGAGCACAGAACTGAGTAACTATATTTATAGAGAAATAATGATTAGCAAAAGAACTTCGGATACGAAGAGTGTGTATTTATAAATAAACATCTATAAAGTAATGGAGCACACGAAAGTATCTGATACATCAAATAAATATTTATTTCACCCACTTTTAAGACTTTACGCAACAGGTAAAACCTCAGGTATGTCCATTTTATCGAGGTACGGAAATATCTAAAGTCCATGCTTGCAGGTATTATGTGGTTTTTTTCCAACTGAAACTTTGACCAGTGGCGCAGTCTAGTCAAGTCGCAGCTAGTTGCTATTCGCACTATCTGGAAGCGCCTACACCGTATAATAAAATAAATCACATTTAATATGCCCACAGAGTTATCTATATATACACATATAGCTAGCTATATTTACGCCTACCTGTAAGTAAGTAGAGCAACTGCCCTTCGTTATCGAAAACAACAACGAAGACGACGACGCTAATAGTAGCGCAGCCAACATGGCCAACATAATCAGAGCCTAGAAACTATCTCTGAGAACATGTTAAGAAAAGAAACGAATGACAAATCGAAAGAAAACAAAATAAACCTGAGACGAATGATTGACAACAAGGTAAAACCAACAAAACAAAAAAAGTGAAAAACAGCGACGACATTTTGATAAACGAGCCAGAGCGTATCTCTATCTATCTCCCTCGCTCTCTATCTCAACGGGCACACGCTGAGGCAAGGGGTTAAGATCCCATAGGGACAACGCAACTTCTTATCTTATTCGTATATTCTTATTCTCTCTTTTCTCATAAAGATGACTGCGAGTTACAGGCGGAGCGCAAATGAAAAACAAACTTTGGCTACGCGCTAAGCACATGAAGCAACACACGTAGTAAGGCAGTGCCAGGGCAAGCCGCATTTTGTATACTCTCAGCAATACGGATCGAATTACCCAATATCTTTATATAGACAACATATATTAGAAAATTATTAATAAATGATCCTGCCTAGCTAGCTATAGTAGTCTAATATTAAACAGATTTTAGAGAAAGTTACCCTAACATCAACTTCATCCGCCAGCGATCATTGATATCTGATATATCGTCTGATAATCAAAGATATTCTTAAATAAAAATATTTGAACATTCAAAGCATAAATAAATCCATATGATCTGATCTATAATTTGTATATGGATTTCCAAAAATGTACGTCTATCAAAATATGTTTTCCCATCAAATCTACCTAGGTAGAAATTCTAAAATACCTATGTAACATATAGACAATTGCATTACCATCAAATAAAAACTATAAAAACTGAGAGTGTAACACTTAACACTTAAAGTAGATCAAGAGCTGATAAAAAAAGATTTTCTTCCATGCGTAACACATTGCATGACAAAACTATAACACTTCGTCCGTCAGGGTATACGAAAATAAACAGCTAGCTGTACCATCAAATTGCTTAACAAACAAGCTGAGAACGCGTGTACCTATGTATCTATAAGTGCGCATCTGCGTATCTGGGCATCTGCATCCACTTGTTGCGCATAGAGTATATAGTTCTTCCGTTTGCGCAACTTGTTCTAGTTGCTGCGTACTGCATACTGATAAGCTCGAGATTAAGTAAACTGATACACTTTCGATTTTATTCAGAGATACTCGAAGAGACCTTGCCAAAAAAACAAAAAAAGATAAGAAAAACTGAAAATACTTATTCTTGAATTTCCACAATAAACTGTGCCAGCTGAGCAGATAGTTGAGTCAAGTGGCATTATCGATCTTAACAAATTTATTAGTCTTTGTCGTGTTGCGTATCTTGAGCTATTTCGCACACAGCCATAATCGTGTGTCCGTGAGTCAATTTTCTGGAAATCCGATACTCGAAATATTTATATGTCTTTCCACACTTACCTGGCACCAACAATAACCTGCTTTCTGGCCACATCGTATAACAATTCAGAATACCAAGTCGTATCGGGATCGTAAAATCGTTTAGCTGTTGACATCAAATCTGCGTAGGTAAAGAGAAATTTGATTAATAATATGAAATCGAAATCGAAAAAGAAATTATGATAGTCTAGACAAGCGAGGGTGGCATGAAGTATTTATGCAGACCTTAGGCTTTTAATATATATATATATAATATATATTTACAGGGTATTTGCCCAGCCAAGTGTTCTTTATAATATATTACGTAAGCGAAACTACAGTTAAAAGCCTCGACTCGTAAGAAACAAACATAATAAGTAAGAAAATAAATGCCTATAAAAATGAAAATCAGAGTCAACAAAACTTATTGCTGAGTTTGCACAGCGAAGTCGTACTTCAGAAAGTGCATTCCACATGCATGCAAAAAGCACAGATTGAGACAATGCGCAAATATTTGAACAATAAACACGAAGCGCTTTCTGATTAAAAGACCCGCAGATATTGTTCAACACATATACAAATACACTCATTTATATAGTATAGAGGTGCTGAGATTCTTTGGAAGTGACATCTCAATCAGAACTTTGGGACATCCAGGCTTTTGCGCAACTAACTACTTACGACTGACTGAGATATGAACTCAACTTTCGTATGTTTCAAGTGATTGATTGCTTAGCAATTGACACAGTTTTGTAACTGTTTTTTTTTTTGATAATCCATAACTTACCTTGATATGATATGTAACGCGAATCAATTTTCAGTAACTCAAAGTTCGACTGCGTCTGATAGCTGTTCAGTAGAGCCCGCGCACTCCTGGGGCTTTGTAGGGTTAAGTATAGCAGAAGTAGAAGCCATAGCTGAGGCTGCATTTTGTCATATTTAAGAATTAACATGCTGCAATGAAAGAGAACAAAAGTTTCTTTTAATGAGGAATATGCAGGAATTCAAACATTTGCATATATAGCGGATCTACTCGCAGGTCTGATTGTCAACATCTAAAGTTTGATCTGGTAAAACCCGTCTCGCTATGAAGTCAATTATATATACATATGTCAATATACAACTAGACATTAGAGCCAAGACATTCGTCGATGACCAAATACCCTTCGAGTGCTAAATTGGTTCTTTTCATGCAGAGCTCTATATATAGGACTCATATCAACATTACAATGACTTGTAATTTAGCCTCAATTAGTAATACCTGTGACTAGTTTCAGTTATTTATATATGTCTGCTGATTCACATTACACAAATCATGTGGGCTAAGGGAAAGCGTTCAGTTTCAGCTTAGGTCCGATATTTAGCTACATTAATGTACTTTCCACATGGTCCATGCGTAACTGATTGAGAGTAATCAGTTAAGAGCTGATCGAACACACTTACTTTATATATTGTCACGTAGCGCTTAAACAGAATTTATATATGTTTCCATTCAGCTTCAGCAGTTGATTAAGTGGGCAGATTGCCAAAGAGTTGTGTTTATATAAGTATTTATTTAAGTGCTTGATAGCATATGATGAGATTACAAATTCATCGCACAATTCACAATTCACAATTAGTTTCAATTTTTTACTTCCAATCATCAATTGGTACACAGCACAGATGAAAAGCAGAAATTTTCCTCATTTGCAACTGTTGTTGTTGAGTTTGGGTTTGGGTTTAGTAACTAAAGTAAGTAACCGGAAGATACGACACGAAGCGTTGTTTCTTTCTCATTTGCTTTCGCATTTGCTTTTGGTTTTCAAGCGCGTCGCGCATGCCGAAGTTAACCGCGCAGCGAGTCAAAACAAACTGAGCTGCGGAGCGGCAATCGTAACAGTAGAAACCATCAGCGAAGAGCGTGGAAACAACAAAACAAGGAGCGAGCGAGTGAGCTGAACAGTGAAAGAGCGAACGAACGAACGAACGAATACACCAGCAAAGCAACAAGGGAATAGACGCCGACGCGATGTGCAAGCCCACGAAGATGTTTGTTTTGAGAACCGGCTTCGGCCTGCGCAGAGAGCTCAGACAGCAACAACAACAACAACAACAACATTAACAACGAGAACTTGGGCTTGGGCCTGGGGGGCTTAGCGTTGGGTTTTGATGTTGGGCGCGGTTGCAGTGGCAGCAGCAGGGCAGGGCACTCATATATCATGCGACAACGACAGCCAACTACTTACTGGCTGCAACTACAGCGCGACTTGGCTCGGCTCGTCCCAAATGCTTGGGATCGTCGCCCAGTGTGCTGCCTGGATTGACAGACGACGCGACGTCGGACATCGAACGCCGAACGTCGAACGTCGATTGTCGCTGGGACGTGCCCAGAACAAGGACAACTCTTAGCTGAGTCTGCGTTTTAATTTGGTAGCCCAACAAATTGACATTAACGTCGCGCCGCATAAGGGCACGTGATATACAAGACGACGGGCAGGACAGAGCGATCTTATCGTATAAACACGCGTATCCATTTAAACCCATATACCGATACTATACTAGGTATTTTATGGATATATCAGATTATGCTTAGTTGAATTGCATTTTCAGACTGTTGGGCCAAAGTTACAATGTATAATAAAATGTTCTTTGTTCAAAATGCAATCCCTAAGAAATTTACTAGACTAAATGTTTAGCTTATACAACTTGGAATTACTATTTACGTATGTGTATACATCATATCCATGTATCTACCAAGAATTCCTTCATATGGCATTAAGAGAAAGTAAATAGAATAGTGAAGTAAATTAAGAATAGTAAATAGTAGTAAATTAGTTTATAAACACTTATCGAACTTATTAACAATCATACTATGTTATGATAAATATTGTAAATTCATAAGTAACTCATGTGGAAGCCATGAAATGGCACTTGTGTTTTCTTTAGGATCTGTGTAATAAGATCGGTTTCGTCCAAGGCATCATTTCAAAGATCTCTCAGAGTCGAATCGCGTTGTCCTGTTGCCAATTGCCTTAACTGGGACAGCTGCTGTTGGTTTTTGAAACACAATGTAGAAGTGAAACGATCGCTGAGGATCGGTCTCTGTTTATGCCACAGCATGCAGCGAGAAATCGGCAGTTGTTCAGCTAGGTTCCAGTGTGGGCAGAGAGAATCGAAAAACCATGTTCCTATGACAATATATGCTACGACTACCTGCATTGTTCATTGTCAGCGATTTGTGCTACGAGTTTTTCTTTTGGAACGTTGACTAAATATGCTAATTACGGTAGCACCAACAGACGACGACGAGGCCGACGACGACGACGTTGCTTTGTTGCATTTTTCGGTCTCTGGTAATTTACGGCTTTACTTCGATTGTAATGCTAATGCTGACCAGGCGACCCTCGACTCAATTGCATTGACGGCATGTGACTCACGGAAGTGGCAAACAATTTCGGTTTGCCCTTATCACTCGGACAGAGCGCAGAGTGCAGAGTGCACTGCAAATCCTGGCCTCCTTCCTTCCGGACCTTTTATGGGTTTCACCTGTCAAACTTTATTATGAATATGAACATGAAAGGTTTCCATTTCGATGAAGGGGTAGAAAATTGATTGCTCAGTTGTCTCGTTCGTCAATATTTGCGTTCTGAATTATGTCGCTTGCCCCAAGAGATAACACAAAATTTATATTATTTGATTAGCTATACGAAGTGAAAGAATTTCTGGTGGAGTTGGAGTTGGAGTTGGAGTCGGAGTTGGGTGGGTGCTCGCATAGACAATGCTGTTCTTTGAGCTACATTAAACTATTTCCAACAAATCATCCAGCTGTTTAAATGATCATAAAATTAAAGTAATGTTTTTTTCCCTAAATTATAATACCACATTTGTGGTCTATCGCTGATCTATATATGGGTCAAAACTTTCTTTGCGCAGGCATCTGCGGAATTTCAATGGCTTTAATCGCACTCTAAATGAATATCTTTGTTAGAATAAGCGATAAATATATATTATTTACACCATTCAGCTAACAACGGGAAGTCCATTTCATTTTATCCATAGTCATAATCTAAAACTTTCGAAACGTGCCTGCCACACACACACACACACTCACAGTGGGCACTAAAAGTTTATGACCAGCCAAACAATAAATTATTAGTTATTGAAATGATCGAGATCGCAAAAGGCAAGATTTATTCATCCCTCCCTCTCTCTCACTCTCTCTCTCCCCATGTCTGGAACAATCAATGATATTTGCTGATTCTGAGTGCAAATTAAAAAGACCTTAAAATAGAATTGAAGCCAATGAAGGAAGCGCGAGATGAAATATGACAATGTGGCAGAGTGGCAGAGTGGCAGAGTGAGCTTCCACTTGCTTAAGTGCACATCGATTGAGGACAATACAAAAGCATTTAAGAATTGACACAAAACAATTATGCAAAATTGGAATACACAACTGGCAAATACCCTGTAAAAAATGATGTAAAGTTGCATGAATATACTATTCTATATCCCACTTTCTATTCACTTTTATGAGCCTAGGGCATAAAAAAAAACAATCATATATATTTTATATGTGTTTATGGACAATCATAAATTAGAAGCTCGTTGGCGACAATTAAAAGACTTTGGTCTCGCATAGTTAATGACCAAACAATTAAAAGACAAATATGCTAAGCAACTTTCCAACAAAACTCATAAAAAAACACCCAGTACACGTCGGGCTAAGCCGACTGCATAATACTCGTTTAAGATGCACTAAAAACTAAAATAAATATTTTCGGAGTAATGCACGAATAGCTCTTATTAGAAGAGACCTTTAAGACTGAAAACTAACAATTGTTTAGTATATAGAATTTCATGATTTACCCAAGAGACAGCAGCTGAATCTTATTTAAAACCAATATACTCTGCGGCACTCACAACTTTCTCGGCGCATAAAACTTAATAAAATATTATGCGATGGAAATAATAAAAATTAATGTCAAGAAAAATGTCTAAGCCGTGTTTTTTTTTTCGAAAATACATATAATTGAAAATTAAGGCAGCTGCCATAATTTATCAGTGTATAATACAAAACACAAAATATGAGTCGAAGACCCGGGTCGATGCTCAGGTTCAAGCTCAAATTGACAACTTGTAAATTTATGACAACATTTATAGGCGATAAGGCGCTGGCGCCCGCCTTCAAAAGATTTCGAATCTTCGAGTTTGGCAACTAATTTCAAATCGATTTACATTACATATTTCATTTGGAAATTGTGTAAATATTTCCAATCGAAACAAACCAAGTGTCGATTAAACTAATAAACGAGCGAATGACTGAGCAGCGCTTAAAGCGCGTTCAGTAATTTGTGCATTGGGCTCTAAGCATATGCTAAAATATGCGATAATTTACTATATTCAAATATGCATAAACCTAATGCAAATGTGAACAATATCTTACACATTAGGCTGCCGCTGCTGCTGTCGCTGCCGCTATCTAAATCACACATAATTTAAAGAGCTGCTCGAAACCGGTTCATTTCGATTGAACTAAACTGAACCAACTAGAACCCATTATGAACTGGAACTGAACTTTCAATGTTGCACAAATCAATCAAGGCACAAATGCGTTCTGCTCAGCTTAGCTTTCATTTATGCCAAAGCCTAATTTGAAGTGTTTCCCAGTTTCCATTCTCTCTTAGTTATACAAAACTAGTTAAAGATTCAGCTACAAAACAGAAATAACTGGAGTTACGATGTTAGATAATAGAAAATATGTAAAAGATTATCATATTTTTAAAGTCTATATTATGAGAGTAGAAGGCCTTAGCTTGCTAAAAATAATATAGGGCAATCCGTCCGCTCTATAACAGTCAGCGACATATGCAAGATGAAGCTCTGGAGTAAGCCTTAGAACAGCTTCAATGAGATATCTTAACTCACCAGACATTGTGCTGTCCGATTACCATTTGTTGGGGTGTTTGGGTCAAGACCTGGCTGAGCTTATTTAAAGGGATAACTTAAAATAGAAAACTAAATGCTACCTGAAACATGTAATAAACTCGTAGCTAATGACTAGCTCTAATTTCACTGAATATGGACTTAATATATCTGAAGAAAATATCCTGCAAATGCATATATAAATCACATTGAATCTAGCAATTCCATTTATATTAGGAAATATTTAAATTTGATAATTACAAAATAATATCAAATTCTCGAAATGCAATTTTATGTTAAATTTCTCTCACATTCAGCTGGAATCAAAAATCTAACTTTTTTTGGAGTTGCGTTGGTTACACTTTGACATCCTTCAATTTATATCATATCAAATGCAATATATTTCTCTATATATTTTCATAAACTGCAGTTAAAAGTCAATTTTTTCTCTTTCTCATTCTTCAAATCGCTTATCCACATTTCTTTTAAATATTTTTCAATTTAATGCCCGCCTCATCCAATATTTTTATTTTTAAATATCAAATCTGTGTCTCGATCTATCCAACCACGTTCTGCTTTGCAGTTCCGCCTCAGTTTCCCGAGCCCGATTTACATATAAATAAGTTGACGATGATTTAATTTAAATGACGATTTATTGCAGCTAAACTAATTTATCAATTTTGTTTCATTCGTTTTCTCTTATACGAAGCATAGACATAGCATAAATAGGCTTTAAAAACTCCTACTGTAGCACTAATCAAATGGGTCGTGGTTGGGTTTTATATGCTAATCTCTCGCTATGAATTCCAAATTTATGGCACGACAACAAGAGCAACAACAATATCAAAATATTGATCTCCAACAGCTCCACCTGCTGTGTCCCTAATGATCGCAGTTGAAAAGCAAGAAATTAAATATTCCAAGCATGAATCGGGCCAAAAACACTTTTTTTTTCGAAATGGAAACTCGCAACGAATTCGCACAAATCGATTACAAAGTTTATTTTATTTTTTCCTTTCTGTTATTTTTATTTTTAGACGTAAGCTAAAAATTTAGAGCAACGATCGCCTTTTTTGGTGCTAACTCAATTTACAACTTTTCGAAAAGCAGAAAACGAGCAAAGTTTTTGATTTTGATTTTGATTTTGAGTTTTCAATTCGCTGAGATTTGTTGGAATCGTTCTTTATATAGACAGATTAATGAGTCGCTCGCTGGCATTTCATGTTTTTCAGTTGTCAAATTAAAGGCTATGCAACAGTCACACCTACTGCTATGTCTTCATATAAAGAAGTCTCGCCATCTTAATGGCCCCCAGCTGACAGCACGCAACGGTCCACACAATTATGACAGACACTGTGCAAATTATTTGCATTACATGCAACATGCCACATGCGACATGCGACACTCTTAAGTGGGTGAGAATTAGTGAAATAAAGAGTCTCCTCTTAACTAGTCGTTTGATCTGACTGTGCTTATTAACGATAAAAGTCGATTCTACGAAAGCTAAATATTCATTATATTTATTTTATATGTGACTTGACTGTTTTTGTTGAAGATTGAAAAGATCTGCATTTTAAAATTTATATAAATACGAATTGACTTAAGATGAGCCTGCACTTATGAACGATTCTAAGCATTTGAATACAAAAGTTGTCAGACTATATACATTTATTATTAATTTAATATATAAAAATGTATAAAAAAATGTAGAAAGTATTTAAGAATAATAAATATTTCTAGTTGTTTAATTTTGAAATACCTAAAATTCTATTGATGATATATGTATATGTGAGTATTTTTTATTATGCATTAATTAATTACTTTTTAATATTACATTATTATATTTTACTGTACCAGTTGGACCGGCAAATGGAATGAGTACCAGCTCTTAAGTTTCCTATTTATTTGCAAGTAAATATCAATAGACTTCAGCAATGCTATTCGGCTTGCCACATATATCAATGTTAAGTCCGAGTCCGAGTCTTCAACGATTTCACTTCGAGGAATATTTTGACCACACGACTTCACCTGAAATTCCCATAACTTCCGATTCCCAAACGTTCAACAAAACAAAACAAAACCTTGGCAATTGCTGCGCTTTGTGTTTTTATGATACTTGTCATGAGCACAACTAGTTCGGGCTCTTGTCTAGTTAAAAAATCATAACACCTTTCTCCAAAAGGCTTGTACAAAATGTCTAAGAAACAAGTTATTATTTTTAGCGAATTGCTTAAGAAACATAATAAAAAAGGAAAACATTTGTAGACCACACACAAAGTTAGTTTCCAATTGTAACTCTTAAAAGCGAAAATTTGTAAAGTCATAAATGTAAATAGAAACGTTTGTCTGGTAAAAGCTGGAACACAACATCACTGCAAACCACATTGACTGAAGTTGAGGAACTATTTGGAGATTTTCGAGCGTGGCTTAATAGGGAATAGCTGCTGAAATGGGTGTGCCAAAGAGTCTAATCCAGAAGCCAAAAACCAAATTTATATAAATTTCAATTGGCGCGCCTTCCTTGACTTCTATATATATATACATATATATATTTATCTGTTGGCAACTCATTTAATGTCTTCATTTCAAGTTAATTTTCACTCGCTGTGGGTGTCGCAGCTCACACAAATTTATGTGCGCCAGTGAAAGCCATAGAAATATGAGGCACACCGTCTGACGGCCTTATAAATCAACGTGAATGTCCCATGGAACGCACCCTTTTTTGGTAATGCTCATTGTTGTTGTTGCTGTTGCTGTTGTCGTCCGAAAGAGTCCGAAAGAAAAGGATTAAATGCTCATAAATGACCCCCGGCAATAGTTTGCTCTCCCATCTGTATGTGTAGTGTGTGTGGTCTTCCATATAAATGATACAAAAACTTGTATTTCCAAGCAATGCGAAAGTTATCCAAACAATTGAAAAACCAGTAAGAACTTTGCCGTCATGCACCACCGACTGCATAATACTCGTTCACAGTTCACGAAACAACTCTATTTAACATAACACTATTTATGTGCCCATAGGTGTAGAGAAGGTCAATAGTGATCCAGCTTATAGTCAAGTTCAATGCTATGGAGGACATGGAAAGAAAGCTTAAGATTAGGCTTTGCATTACAACAGCGAATTTTGAATCGGCCAAGTTTTGAGATTGTATCCGTATAACTGTGACATGACACAATGAATCACATAATGTCTATATTCCTCAAATTACTTTGTATACACAGGCTTCACTTGTGTATATACTTTAAGCCTTTACGTAGTGATATTGTATAAAACCAATATACTCATCTTACGAACGAGTATAGCAATATGAGTACCAAATGTAACATTTTTTTTTAAGCCTTAACAGAGATCAGCTTTCAGATACTTCATGAAAATATTTATAACTCTGCTAGGCATCAGTTACATATGAGCTTAAATAGCTTCAGGCGTTTTTATCGATAAGCAATGAGTACAATACTTGTGCATGAACTAGTTCGCAAAAAATACTAGTCAGAAATACCAATTGAAAATACCAAATACACAATTAGAACAGAATTTGATCAAATTTGAATTAGTTCACACTCTAGTAGTTTTCCATAGTATTTAAATTAAAATGGTGTAAAAGCTCGTCACACTCTGGAATTTTCACGTAATGTTAATTAACACACATTTTGGCCCATAGCAAAAAAGCTACATAGAAATGCGAAATAACTGACAGAGAACCGAAATATGCTTAGTCAATTAGCACTTTGACAAAAGTCAACAACAAAAGGCCATTAAGTAAATTTACATAAATCAAAATTATGTTTAGCCACGACAAAAGACAACACAAATCGACCTGCGGAAGGGCATTGAATCTTAAACAATTCAAAACTCTTATCCGCAGCATTTGTCGAGTATTATTTTAAATAGCTAAAGTCAACAGACCGGACCCAGGCGAGCAGAGGGTTACCCAGAACTTGAGTAACTCTATCGAAAGGTGTTGATAATTTATTATTATTATTAGCATGGCATTGTTATAGACTTCGACTTGGTTTATAAGAATGTGAGGCTAGCTAAACTTGATAAAATCAAAATAAATAATAAACTATATTTGTAATACGATATTCCACCCAATCAATAGGAAGTCGGACTCTGTCGTTTATGTCGAGCCGAGTGTCTAAAGTTTCGGCACTTAGTTTGACACATTGAAAAACCAAATATCTTATTTACAGAAAAAAATTTTTAATTTCACCCAAAAAAAAAAAATAAAAAATATGGCGCTAGCGCAACAATACTCAAATATATCTGAAGAAGTTATGGAGTATCTGTTTGATCAAAAGATACGTGAAAGAGACCTAATTGCCGAAAAGGAGGAGCTCAAGCTGCGAATGAACAAGATCGAGGAGCATTTGGTTCTGCTGCAAAATCGTGATGATGAGCTCACCTGCATGATAGCCACAGGTAATCTATATCAGCTGAGCACCGTTAAACTAGTTCGAGAGGGCCTGCTAGCCAGCCTGACGGCCAGCATGCAGCCCTATCTGAAGCTACATCGTAAGCTATTGCGCCTACAACGGCATATCAGGGAAGATCACAGTGTACTGTATGAGAATTTGATCAGAAATCCAAGTACTTAATGCAATGCACCTTATAAAAGACGGAGTTTGGGTAAATAAATTTAGCTGAATATGAAACTCGTATTTCTTCTTGGCTATGTTTCATAAAATATTGCACATTTTTTGTTGTTTTCTACTTTTTGTACTTTAATCAAATCATATTAAATATTAAAATTTTATTTGGAAGCCCATTCGAATTTCATATACATAACTTATCTGCATTATCATTTCGGAGAACTCCTTCTCGGTGTCAAAAAGCCTACGAAATTGTCTTTAACATCCCACGATCATTTTCAACTGTCTTTCGGCTCAAGTTTTGGATGTAATTTTCTTAGTGAGTTGGCGTTGAAGGGGCTTCATCATCTCTAGCGAGATAGAGGTCCAAGCGAGTTGACTTGTCATAATTAAATGTGTAATATTTGTCTACGCTTTCGACACCTTTTTGCCCCCTTCTTTCACCCATTTCGTTCGGCTGCTCAGCGAGCCGTGAACCGTGAGCCGCGCACGCGCTGACTACATGAATTTGGAAGGGGAAATAGCAGCGGTATACCCGGATCGTGTAAATTATAAACAAATCATGCACATTTCATCAGCTCTGGGTCTATGCCTTGGCAATGCAGCACGGAGTGCGTTCCGCTTGCTTCGTTTCAAAAGCGAAAAGTGCGTCGGCTTTTTCGTTTTTTTTTTCATATATTTTTTTTTGTTGCCTATTGTATTTTCCCAAAAGCTTTATGCCTCATTTCATGTTGTATGCTTTCGACTTTCGTTCGGTTTGATTTTTTTCTTTCCTTTTCACTTTTTGTTTTGTTTTGTTTCGTTGTTTTTTTTTCTGGATGCTGCGATTACATTTCGCTGGCACGTGCGTTTAACTTGTAATGCCCATGTGGAAATTTACAAAAGTATTTGAAAGGTAAGAAGGCCTTATAAAATAGAGTATCAAATATAGTTATTATATATTTATCTATGTAAGAGACATACTAAGTTTGAATATATTAATTTAATATATTAAATTTTCCTTCTTCTATTACACGTTTTATAGCTACGTTTCATGAGAGCAAGAGAGTTGGGATTGGTTTTCGCTTACTAATTAAAAAACCAAATTAACAGACTATTAAAGCTTGCTTAAGACTGCTATAAAATATATAAATCTATATACATCTTTTTTATAAAATCCAAAATTGTTTAGCTAATTGATGTTGCTCATTCCAAAATTGCATTGGTATTCAAATTTCCACTGGGTGTTTGCGCCGCCTTTGTAATATTTGCTTACATTTATAAGCAGTTTTCGTGGATTTAAGAGTCCATCAATTCCATTTAAGCTGAAAAATAAAATCTACGTTTTTTATGAATTTTATTCATTGTTTGGTCGCTGTCGAGCCCTTTGGCTCGTGCTCAAAGCTTTTGTCAAGCAGTCAGATTAATGGGCTCGATTAGCATAAGCAAATATTACGCAAATTATGTGGCAAGTGCGCCACAACTACAAGTCGTGATCCAATATTAGATTTTGGGCGGGTAAATAATAGTTAGTGGGAATGGCAGCCAAACAAGTGCACAAGTGCACAAATGGCTGTACAAAGCAGCCAAATTGTGTCTACGTTAATTAAAAAACCACACGAAAAATTTGCATACAAGACGAAATTGGCCACAAAAATTGAGTTTGTCTGCGAATTCGAACCGCCAGCCAGCGGCCAATTGGCGTGTGTTCTTTTTTTTGTATTTTTCAGGCGCTGTCACTGTCAACTGTCAGTGCAAAATCAAACAAACAAATTCCACACATGAAAAAGCTCTCTGTAATTGCTTAAATAAATACACAAGAAGATTGGCATTCATTCTGCCCCAGGCTAGTTATTGATGTGATAATAGATAGCTATATAAAAATATAGCTATGTAGCATATTCTGTGGAAATATTATGTTGAAACCCGTTCTATCAATCGTCTCAGTCTCTCATATCTCGATATTCACCTCAACTCTCGCTGACAAGCGTGAAAATCGCATAGAAAGGCGACCATGCATGCCAATCGACTGACATCCATACAAGTTCAATGACATATGGCAAACTAAACGTCAGATAAATATTACAGAAAGACATTCACAGCATCAAATCTATGGCATACTACCCGTTAAAGTTCAGATACATCTACAGATATATATGGTATGGTAATACCATGTTTAAGCCCGCCTCATCAATTGCCTGTAACTCTCATAGCCAGATTTTCTGTCCCTCTTCTAGCTATATACTCATGAAAATCGCATAGAAAGGCCCCAAATTTGGCTCAGCTCCATATAAGTTCAATGGCATATTTACTGGTCATTAAAAGTCAGCTCACCTTATCAATTATTTAAGCTACCACTCACCTGTCCACACACATTCATTCATTAGTATTGTAGAGGTGGGTTTCCAGGAATTGTGGCTGCAAAGAGAAACAGAAGACAAAACATATTGATAAATAGCTTTTGCCAAATCGAATTTGGTCAATGGAATAATTTAGTAGCCCAGCATAAATAATGGATCTCTGGGCAGTTACAAGCATAGAGACGAGCTATTTACCATGCCGAGGGCCGAAACGTGTGCCACTTGCTGATCGCCCCCATACAATGTATGCCACGATCCCCCGCACACACATTAATAAGCAACGATTGGCATAATACCATAATGGTGTCATTTTGATATGCGATGTGCTGCCAACGCCAATAACGCCCACGCAATGCCACGATCTCTGTATAGTTGGCCTAATCTTTGTCTTAGCGAAGCTCTCGAAATCCACAAATCTTGCTACCACTGGCGTTGTATTCGAGTTAGGCGTGCGTTTTAACTCATTAATACAGCCACTATGCATGCGATGCGATGCAATCCAATCCGATCTGATCCGACGAGATAAACTCCGTCTTCGATTTATGCGCATTCATATATATATACAAGCATTGTACAGTGGAACAATGCTAAAGTCTTTATTCAATACTAAATACTTCACAGCAATTAGTTTAATTTGCAGCCCTGGCAACCACTCGAACTAGTCGAAAGCATATTGGGAGCTACTACTGTTAACTTAACAGTTTATTAATTGCACTGTTCGATAACATTAGCAGCACTCCGTGGCTGAGAACTTTTAGCATTAGATTGCAACAGCTTAGTCACTGTTAACTTAACAGTTGTCTTACAGCGCGAGTTCAGATAACAGAAGCAGGGCAGTTACTACCTCTATTTCGATAACATAAGCACTGCTCATAATCAGCAACTTCACTGCGCAGCACTGTTAAAGACGTTTTCACATCCAATCGCGATTTTGTTAAAGAGTTTTATTGATAGTTGGACGACGCCCACTGTGCTCCGCTGCCGCTCCGATGTGCATCGTGTGCCCAAAAAAACAGCGCCTCCAAAATCGTAACCCCAGGGTCTGCGTTGGTGTTATTTCGGAGGTGCAGTTGCCGCATTATGTTTTGCCTCAAACACAGCGATTTTAAACGGATTTATGCATCCATTGCCAGATTCCATACAATTTCCTAAAGGGTTTCGTTTTTCACTCTTTGCTGCTGCTGCTGCTGTTGTTGTTGTTGTTGTTGTTGCTGCTGCTGTTGATTTTCTTGTGTTTTTTTCTTCAACTTAACATTGCGTGGGCCAGGCCAGTGGAGCTTTTCATTTCGCTGCAAACGGCTGCTGCAGCCATAAATTGTAGTTGTTGTTGTTGGTGTTGCATGTGGTTTTGTGGTTTTTGTGGCCGTTCGTGAAAGTTGCGTAAATCGCGTGAAGTAGAAGAAAAGTTCAATACTTTTCAAAATAATTGTAGAAAGTTTATTTTTATATGTTTGTATATCAGTGGCCCCGTGCATATGCAGCGCTTATGCAACCAAAATATGATCGGAGATTCGATTGAAACCTAATTGTCTATCAATTGTGTGGTTAAACAATTTAATAGACATTGACATGATACGACAATGAGAGAGGGAAATTTCACTGAGCAGAGAGTCAATTGGGATATTGTCTTATACAAGTCTTATACAATTTCTTTATACTGAAATAAGATGAGAGGAATGCCTTAATGAGCAGAGAGTCTAATATGATATTCAATCTCTGTTATGCAATCGCTCTACACAGTATCATAGAGAACATTTTAAAGACCAGAAAGCTTAACTGGAAGCAGTAGGAATCTTTAGAAAAGCCTTCTATACTCTGTTATAATATCATTAGATGAAAATTTTAGAGAGCGCTACAGAAGTGTTATACAATTCCTGTGCAATACTGTGCTACAATGAGAACAGTAATATTTATGGAAGTGTTATACAATTTTTTATACTGTGCTACACTCAAGGGAGAGGAAGTGTATTTTAAATACTGTGCTACCCTGTGCTACTCCAGCACAATCAGCCTAAAACCAAGGAAGCTCATTTTGTAAAGTCCTACCTCAAGATCCGGGTACAAAATTTCGTTTTGTACTCAAATTACTTGCAATGTAGGACACTAATTACGTACTTCATATTTCATATTTCATATTTTTCGGTGGCAATAATAAATATGTACAGCAGATAATAACACCTCACGTCCATATCTCGATTCCCACTGGACTTGTGTGTAATACATCCATCAAGATATTATGCGTGAGGCCCCACGAGTGTCGCCGCTTGACCCACATACCAAGTATGTAAGAAGCAATCGGGCTGTGGCAGTGGCTGCTGACCAACTCCCCAAATGAAACTCGATTCAAAATAAGAGGCGAATTGGCAAAAGAAAAAGAAAAAGAAAACCACAAATCGGCTGACTGACAAAATCGGAGCGCGTCGCCCAAAAGGAAACCAGTCGACAGCTTTACGATGGGAACCAGCGTACAAAATAAACAGACAACATATTGAAAATTTCGAAAACTGTGTTGACGTCCGCCACAGCAGCAATTAGGCGACTCTTATCAATGTCGTTCAGTCTTGCAAAAAAATCTCGACGATCCACTACTGAACGTAACGTTCAAAAGTAACTCTCTGAGTAAACGTGAATATGCAAAAAGCCAACAAATTTATATGTTTTGCCCAATCGAATTGTGTACACTCTTTAAAGGTAAACCATTAAACGAGAGAACTTTTGCAAGCATGTACTTTATGTATTCCGTATATGGGATTAAGATTTTCCATTCTAGATATATCATATAACCAATATTATATATATATAGTTTATGCAAAATAACATAGAATTATCCAAAAATGAAGCTATAAGAAAATAATGTATAACTAGATGTGTATAATCCACTTCTAGATACCCTTACCTTAATTTAAACCTGCCCTAATATACACAAAATACTCATCTAGAATCTATATCTATCGAGCTAAGCTTAAATATCTGGCTTCAACTTCAGCTTACAAGAAATTAACAATTTAAAAATACGAACATATATTATTTTATATATATTATTATATTATTATATAATTTTGTTCACTTGAGCTCTGGCAAATAATGAAATGATCGATTACAAATCAGAATATTTATCATGCAATATAGGCTGATGTAAGCCAGCAGACTGACTAAATCAACTCTGCTAATGAGTTACATATATATATATATATATATATATATATATATATATATATCACATATATGTGGTCAAACTGTCAGAAAATCAGTATACCCTAAAGTAAACACTTTCTATGCGTAGAGGGTATACAAAACATAAACTGAGCATTGCCTTTAAACGACCTTCGCCATTTCGCGTTGCCTTTAAAAGTATTTCGCTGTTGTTGTTGTTTTCTTCTTAACATTGTATAAAGTTTGTATACATATATAAAGTTTTTTATGCCTTGCCACGGATGCATAAAACATGTTACCGATCGCTCTGGAGCTGCCTTTGCCATCGCCATCGCCTTCGCCTTCAGGTAAACGTAAACATCAACGTCTTTTGCGTGCTCATCCGATTGGCAACATTTCCGTCAGGCCAGGCCTCACCGTACCCAACGCTCTAGCAGCAGCTCAGAAACTTGGCAACAGCGCTTCAAGTGGCGTGATCGCTGTCCAAATGTGTGTATCTCTCCCTCTCCCTCTACCTCCTCCCCCCTCTCTCTCTCTTTCTCTCTCTGTGTGTGAAGCGAAGCCATTTGAAGGTCGACCAATTGGGGGGCTGCGTGAGAGGCTTGTCGCAAAAACTGGGCACAGAAAGCGCGCCAAATAAAAAAACGCAGAACCCGTGGCCAAAGTCGAGTTCAATTTTCAGTTGCAACCAAATGAGTCTCAAAGATTTATGGCAAGGTGTTTTTTTTTTTTTGCCAATCCAAGTTTGGGCTATATGATTTACGGCGTTCAAAAGCGCTTGCAGCGTATGGGAAATATCTATTGATTGATGCTTTATCAATGTTTCGCACAGTTTTCACTAGAAATTTCAGCGAAAATTAATCAAATTTTTTTGTTGAAAGCCCAATCCTCAGCTGTATAAGACTGGCACGAGGAGAAAACTAATCAGATTAATGGAAAAGTTAAAGAAAACTACATAAAAAGCTGTTGATTTTAACCTTAAATAAAGTTTATAGCTGCATTTTATTTTTATTGAATAACTCAACAGAATATGTGATTCAATATAGAAAATAAAATAATAAGAATTTCTTTTATATTAAATATCTAAAAGAAATTAGAAATTAAGCAAGGTATGTGCTAAAAGATCTTACAAATTAAATATATATAAGTAAATAAAAAATAAAATAATTGAATTAAGTCCAAAGCTTTCAGAGCCCTTTCCCTTTCCCTCAATGGATTAAAAAAATCAAATTCTCAAATAATCTGCTGGATGAGTTTTATAGAAAATGTGAGAGTGCGAGAGATATAGAGAGAGACCCGCCTATATATTATATGTATTATATAAGCGGCATATTCAATATATATATCTCAGTGTAAAAAAATTTTTTCAAAATTATATAAAAATATTTTAAGGAAAAATCAGGGTTTAAATATCGTAAATTTAAGTCAAATATATGCATATATAATATGTTTATATATATTATAAATTAATAATAATAAATATATTATTATAAATTTTACTTTTGCATATTTATCTTAGAGTCTCAGAAAAGCTTAACGTCAGTAAAGATATTCCGACTTCTGACTTGGATATATAAATTATTATTATTATTATAATTATTATTAGTTTAGTTTATTATTTTATAAAAAATATGTTCAAAATGTATATAGAAATTGTGTAAACAAATTAGAACTATCTATTTAATTTGCACATTGAATGTTCCCTCAATTGGGAATTATTATTCATTAGCTTTAAAGTGGCAAATGATATGCGTGTGATTGAAATTCATCGAATGCAAGCTGACGCCTTTTCACTTCATTTCTCAAGCAGAAACAGAAGAAGATATGGGTATAGAGGGGACAGAGAGAGAGGGGCACAGGGGGAAAACGTGTTTCGAGTGGTTCCTACAGCCGATCTGGCGATTGAAGGCATATCTGGTTACGCCTTCGCTTTTCAACTGCAATCATTTTCACTTGAGTTCAGTTACAAAGCCCGAGTCCGCAGCCTGTCAATTCGCATTCACAGCGATTGATAAAGACGAGCAACAAGTTGGCGCTCTTCACAATTTCAAATAGTCAAAGCCTCATAGCCAGAGCCAAGGCAGAGCTTGAGGCAGAGGCGATCATGGTCATTCACTTGTCTAGCGGTAGCCCACATAATGCGTATAATGGTTCGAAATCGCAGGTTTGTTAATCAAATCGCGTACAAACTTGTAACACCTTCAAAGCGGGCCCTTCATTAGCGGCTAGAGATGGCACCGTGACGACAGTCACCTTGACGACTCTAAACCTCTACGAACAGTCTAGTATGTACAGCGTGGGCAAAGCCTCTTAGAATCTGCATTCCAAATGCAGAAATCACACTCAAATTAATTATATTTAATTTGATAAATTCACTTAGTATCGTACGTTCACTTCAAAGAGATTTTTAGAATTTTAGAATTTATTCTAATATTCATAATTCTTATATATACCATAAATTATTCTATAAGTTGCAAGCTCAAGCTGCCATCTCTAGGGGCCAGCATTTATTTACTTACACACAAACTTATATCGAGCATTTGTTAAAAGCACAGCAATTTGATATGCCAGCCTCTAAACATGTAAATGAATTGCATATATTGTGCGTGTGTGTGTGTGTGTGTGCGGGGGTACTTTAATTGTTTTAATTATTCCCAACAAAATTGCAGCGCCAAGGTTTTAGCTTAATGTATTTAACTGAGCTTTTACACATGTTTCTTTGGCTTGACCTTTGTTAACACTTTGTCTTAGGGCCCAAAAGACAGCAAAAAGAAATTTGACTTGAATTTTGTTAAAATTTTACTTTATTTTAGACATGCATTTTGGAAGGTCAAGTTGTGTACTGCAAGTACTTGAAATAAGATGAACTTGAAAATCAGATGGATGAGCAAATTTAATGTCAGCTTTTATCGAAAAATTGGATTGGATAAATATATATTTTTGATCGTGGATTGGATTGACAGCATGAGCATGTATTCCAGCCATTAAGACGAGGATTCAAATGAGTATATTATATATATATACAAATTTCAAGTCTCCAGCTTCAGTAGCGGCAACATGGAAGTCTATTCAATAGACAAACAGAAACACGGACTGACAGTAACATGGATAGTACACTAAAACTAGCTCATTAGCTGAAAACTCTTCGATGCAGATCCACTTGGATAAATTTAGATAATTTTGGATTCAATTTGGATAACTGTATATTTTATTTCAGAAAATATGTTTAAAACTGTAAGATAACAAACGTTTAGCCATAAAAGAGCTAAAATTGATTCATTGTGAACTAGTTCTATGGAATGCATTATTTACTTATACTTCTACTTATACTCTTACTTATACTACTGCTAAGCTCACATCAATCGTATAAGAGTAAAGTTTTTAGCCAGAAAACAGCTAAACTAAGTTTATATTAAAGTACTTTAGCTATATTTCTGCTTATAATAATATTTAAATAGTATAAGAGTAAGTTTGAAAGTTCTACAGAATTGTTTAATTTTCCATTAAGCATAATTGTAATTGATGTCTAAGCAACAAGTTGTGCTCCTGGGCAAACCAAATTGACTTTATTATTATTTTACAATTTAATATATAAAAGCATAAACTACAGCCCGACTACACTGCTGGGATCTGTGTCAGCAAGTTCTGCTGGCTATTAAAATCCATGTGTGTTGACTCAGCCTTGAGCTCTGAGTGGAGTTGTTTGTGCCACACAAAGCGGCTCCATTCATTCAATAATTGAAACTTGTGCATAGATCGAAAATATATGCTATTTATATGTATGTACGTATATAGAACTTTACATATGTATATATGTATTTGTGTGCATAGCAGGAAATGCAGCGTATGGCAACATTTGAAATGTTCTTTATGTTTGTTGTTGTTTTGTTTGTGCAAACAAATGTGGACGGAGGCACACACAATGTGGCAAGCTGCTGGATGATTTAGTAGGCGTTGCAACATGTGCCATATGCATGCAGCATGCCCATCCAGAGCGCGAAACCACTTAAAATTTTAAAAGGCTGCCACAACACACACACACACACACAGTCGCACACAGAAATCAACTTTTTTGCCTTGATGCGCAGCGAACTTTTCGCGCCTGCTTTTCAAGCGTTGCTTAAGGTTTCCTTTTGGAGTGGGCCGCATGCCCCTGTCTCTCGCTCTCGCTCTCGCTCTCTCTCTCCCTCTCCCTCACACACATGTACACACAGTCGGTTCAGCCTCATTGGGGGCAACGCATGCGCAAATTGTGCGCCGGCTGCTGCGGCAATAAATTCATAAAAATCATTAAGCAGAATTTAAAATCCAAAAGCAAGCAACATGGGATGGAGTGAGTGAGAGGGCAGGGAGGGAGCATGCTTGGAGGGGGTCTGCAGGCCAAGGGACAACCGAAAGCTGATGTCGCATTAATTTCAAGCTTAACCGCAGCATTGAACCTATAAATGGTATCTTAAGCGCCCGGCAAACACTCACAAAGACATAAATTGAGACCTGGCTTAATGCAAGTCCACATGATATGGAAGCAAACCAGGTGCAGCCATGAGATATACGAATCTTAGAGGTCCGCCCGACAATAATACGCCAGGCATTTATTTATGGTTTATTGTAAGTGAACACGGACATTGGAGTGATAAAAAGCCAAAGGCTATGTTGGTAGATGCCGAGAGGACGTGGCTCCAATGACAAAGTTATTGAAGGAAAACTGCTGCCTCTCGATAGAACTTAGACGTGCTTAATATAGTCATTCAGATATGACTAAGAGCACATTTGCATATAACCATTATTTTATGTATTGCTGAAGCAAAGTTATAAACTATGCAACAGATTGTCTTTTATGAGGTTTGCCTAATAGACTCATATAACCGAGGCAACCTCTAGTATTTAGATATTATTTAAAGGAATATTAAATTTGTAAAAATAAGTCTTTCAAAATTTAAAATTAATGATTTCTAATGCCATGTGCTGTCAGACTTTTTTAATAAATAAACAAACAAATTTCAAAAATTGTTCTAATAATTTTCAAACTGAAAAATTACTAGAAAAATTATGAATAATAAATTTTTTAGCTTAATTAATTTAAGATTAAATAATTTCGTAAGCTATGCAATGTTAGAAAATTTTATAAAATTTAATCAAGGAAAATTCAGAAATTATTCGAATATTTCTAAAATGAAAACTGTCTAAAAAATTGCAAGCCAATTTATAAAAGGGTTTTCCTCTCATACTATCATAATTATACTAGCACAATCCAATTTTAATTGTACTCATCATTAAGCATATTTACTATGTTTTTAGTAGCAATTAATTATGCGTGACTTTAGTTAAGCTAGAGCGACTAAGGCCTTCAGCTACGGAGCTCTAGTTAATTCATGAACAACAAGCTAATCTGGCCAATGCCAGGCCTTTAGCTCAAAAGTTAGCCTAGATCGCAGCTTAACTTAGCCATAAGTAAATAAATATATATATATTATCTCTTCTTCTTCCCATTTAAGACCCGAACTCAACAAAAAAGTAATCAACAAAATTTTGCATGCTGCGCATGAACTCCGCCAAGAGACAACAAATGACACCACAAAAACTGAAACGAACCGAACCGAAGCGAACAAAAATAAAAACACAAAATTATTTTAATTTTATGCTACATCTTGTGCATGTCTAAATACCCTAACTGAGGGTATAACAAGTCTGCATACATCTAAAAAAAATTAGCATAGCAAATGGCAAAAATTGAACAATTTATCGATTTGTTATATATATATTTTGCTTTATTATTTTTTCAAAATGTAGTACCCTTAGTGTATAAATAGTGTGTAGAATATTTTTTTTTATTTTTAGGAAACCACAAAATAGCTGCACGAATTATATATTTTTACAAATAAAATTTAGAATCGTTTTTTTTTAGTAATATTACAAGGTAAAGGGTCATTTCTTTTTTATTTATTTATTTTTTTTATTATTATTATTTTATTATTTATTTATCGATAGTTTCTAGAACAAATATTAATTGGAATGACATTGTTAGATATATGGAGTTTTTCTTTTGCAAATTTAATATTCATTTAGTTATATATTTCTTTTAATATTTTGTTATTCATATTGTTGTTGTTGTAATGCCCCTAATCTTCTGTTAGTGTATAGAACATTCGTTAATTATAGTAATTTTTAGTTTGCACATCATCTTCAAGCGTCAACAGAATTTTGCTTATAAGAGTTGACAGACCAAATGAGCAAAGAATTCAGCGTAGGGTGTGGCAAAAAAATGCGCTGCTTGCAGAAACTGAAACAGAAACTGAAACAGAAACAGAGCCAGCGAACAGATACAGATACAAGATACAAGATACAAGATATGGCTATGGCTATGGCTATAGAGTTATGTGCATGTGAGCATATGAGAAATTTATGTGACACTCGCATTGGAAATTAACAGCGGACTGCTTCAAATTAATGTTGACACTTGTTGGCTTTGCATGTCGCTCGTTTCACTGCTGCAAATAACTCATTAGACGGGCCAAAGTCAGCTCAAGGCTATATCTAAAGGGGTATTCCAGGCCAGTCCAGCGCCAAAATAATTGTCTGTTCTTTTCTCTCGTATATTTTCTTTCGCTCTTCTCTTTCGCTAACCCTTTTAGCAACAACAGCAGCAGCCTCTGTGCGCAGAAACAAAAGAGAATCTCATTGTTGATGAATCTTTTCAGTATCCCCCTTTCAACAGCAGCCTCACTTCTGCCCACTTCACCAATCCATTTTCCTTGTGCCAAGAACTTGAACTTATCGACATGTCTATATCTATATTCCTCTGCTTCTTCTTCCACTCACAGTCGTTGGGCCTGTTTCGAACTGTTTCTGCCGGCTCTGTGCTGCCATGAGACCAGCTAAAGCTCAAGTTACTTAGAGATTTATATGCTAGGTGCAGAGAAATTACTTGATAATGATTAAGATTTATAAATAACTCGTTGCCAATCAAGCTCTTATATAATAATTTCAAGTCATATTTATCCCCGAAGTAACTATAGGCAATGTATTACTTTTGTCTACAAAGGTAGACAAGTTATTAAGATGACAGATAAAACTGTCGAGCTGTGAAGATCCGGGTTCAAATAATGTTATAAAAGTGAGGCAGATAGTACATGACTATATATAGTTATATATTTTATATCTATATATAGAGAGAATTTTCTTAGCTGTCAATTGTATTATTTTGTAATTTCAAATTAATATTATTTTTTAATTTTATATATTTTTATTATAATTTTAGTTACATTTTATGCAATTTCGCTTGAGAACATAACAATTTTTTTGCATATTTAATTCAATTTTAAAAGGATTTTTAATTAATTAAGCTATAAAAAAATTAACTGATAATTTATTCAGCTCTGAACTATCTCTAATATTCAGATAGAGCTAAGTCAAGTCTCACAAATATATAAATAAAATAAAATATATAAATTTTCCTTATAGCCCCTAAGCATTTTATACTATTCAGTTATCTACAATTATCTACGGAAACTTAACCATAACATAATTCTTAGCCCAAAAATATATATTTTATTTGTTTAGGTTTTTTCAATTTTACTTTTGATGTTGACGTACTTAACGATGTGTAAGCCCCGATTAACTTTTCTTGTTTGGGTCGCTGCTTTCTAGTTTCGCGTAATGTCCAAATGCCTGGGATAGGATACCCAATGCCCAATCGGCTCAAGTCATAACACGCATTAGTTTATCTGCTCGCTGGCTGGTTAACATTACAGCACTTGAGTTAAACCAGGCTTTATGGTTGCCTGCCTGTTTCCATGGATCAACAACCACTCTTCGCCTCTACCGTGGACCACATGTGGTGTTTGTTGTGCACACACACACACACACATAGATAACACTATTGCGGATTTCTCTTCATGTTCTGGCAAATGTTTGCCATTTGACAACAGCAGCAGCAGCTCCGACTCGAGCTCAGACTCTGTCTGCGGCTCTGGTGTTTTCTCCAATCGCTGCTGCTGATCTTTGGGCTTTCGAGCCTCGGCAACATTTCTATTATTTATGCCAGTTGAGCAACAGCAACAAACAGTTTCGATGCTCTTACACTTTTCACACTT